AAAAAGCAAAAAAAAAAAAAAAAAAAAAAAGAAAAAATAACTTTTTTTTGAAAAACATAAAAAGGAAGGAAATGACCTGCTTTTCCTGCCCTGCAACAAGACAGTCCTTCAAAATGGCAAGTGCCAACCCATCCATCCATTTTCGAAATTGGTATTACCTGCAAGGCGCAAGCAATGCTTCGCGGAACGAAAGCAACATATTTCAACCCTAAGGCCTCAACAACTTTTCGTTTTTCTTACCAGTAACTACGTAAATACATCACTCTAGTGCGCGCACACACGCTGAGAGTGAGGATGGAGAGAGAAGGAGAAACAGAGTCTAAAATGGCTGCAACAATAAACAACACACACTCACTGAGCGTACTCAAGCCTCTGATCAAGGGATGCCTCACCGGATGCTGTTATGCTCTCCTTTTCCACTGCAATCGATCGATATTCCTTCATCTCCACAACTTTGTTCACAGTCCTAGCGGAGATTCACGCAGGCCGCCGCTGCCTGATCTGAGGATGGCCACCGCTAGGGTTTCTTCATCTCTCTCAACACAACTTCTTTTAATCTTTCTATTACGCCCTGTTTCAGAATGTCGGTTTGTTGTTCAGATAATATTATTGTGGTTTTGTGTGATCCCATTACTTTACTACTTCACAAAATTGTTGCCGCATAATTAATTGTGGTTAATTGGTTATGTTACTTTCAGCTCTTTGTAATGTTTATCATTGTGTGAATAATGGCTGCCTTTCTACCTTGAACTCAGTCCGTGCAGAGGAGCTACATTTATGGAGTTACCTTCACACCCCTTTGACTTGGATTGTTCGAGTAAGTATTCCTAATTCAGCTACCAAGCTTTCGCTTTGTTGCATCACACTTGGATTACTCTGCTTCAAGGCAAAACTTTAATGTTGTGATAAATTCAGTTGGGGTAAATTATCTTTTTAACATTGGGGTTGTATCATTTAGTTCCAGTTTAGATTAATTTCTGGTGCCACAGGAACCATAGTACGTGGTAGCAGTATGAAGTTTATGAGCATAATTATAAATTATATGAAAGTGCATAAACGGCTCTTCAACTTTTATTAGGAAAATCATAGTTTTTTGGGCTTAACTCACGGTAATATTTTGGAGCCATGACATGAATTCCTTATAGGATTTTGAGCAATAAACTAGGAAGCACGAACCATGGAAGGTCCCTATCCCTCTATCAAGAAGCTTGTTGCGGGCTTGCCTCTAGCTCAATTGCTGCCTTCTTTCTCCAGCCTTTCCTTTTAGCACATGCGCGGATCCCAACAGAGAGTTATACTCTTACAAACTTGTTTGCCAAGCTTCATCACATGGTTAGACATGAAGGGCCGCTGACCTTCTGGAGGGGCTCGGCCCTTTCTGTTATCATGCTGACAACAGCAAATATGGGGATGCTGACATCATACAAACGGAGCCGAGACTATCTGTTGGAGTCGAGAGGCCTCTCCAAATGGAAAGCAGAACTAAGTAAATTATTATCCCTATAAACTACATAATTCAGGAGGTTTAGTATATGTTCTTCAATTTGTAGCTGCACATGTGACATTTATTTATGTCAACAAAGTCAAAGTGGTAATCGTAAATCGTCCTCCTTAATTCATACTGATTTTTTTTCTTATTAGATTCAGAAAGAAACCAATCATCTTTAAAAAATTATAAAATTGCGCACATATGGCAGCTGTAGCACTTCATTGGCTCCGTATTTGGGATTTACTGGTATATTTTCTTTTTCAATGATGATGATTCAGGTGCAAGTATCATTTCTGGATTCTCTGCAGCTGCTTGTAGCTATCCATGGATATACGTCGGGGGAATCAAGCATGTTGTGCAAAAAAAATATGCTGCTGGTGATAAGCATGCTTACAGAATGATTCCTCTTTTACTCGCTCGAATTCTCACTCCAAACAATGGCCTCAAATTCTATGTCCACTTCCTCAGTCATTTTCGACATTTGGCTGGGTTCTGCATGGTATTTACCCTCCCCCAGCTCATTCATGGTTTTATAAAAATAGATATTTGTGATATTTACAAAAGCAACCCCCTTAAACCAAAGCAAGACCTGAAAATTATAAAATACCCCGAGAGACTTTACTCTGCTTTAACTTAAATGGGTAACTGTAATGTTGTTATAGAGGTAAGGAGTCATTTGTAGTATTACTCTGTGAAGGGGATTCTACGTTAACCGTCTGTTTTCCTTTTACATACACCAAACCTCTCGATGATGTTTTTGCATTGATCTTGTATTGAATCTGATTACTCCTATAATGGGTGATTTTTCAGTTGCAGTGGTGGATTTATGAGCGAATCCACTTTGAGGATGAGAGTGTATGAGCTTCCTTGTACTGCCAACATAGCCACTTACAAAAGATTTCGACTTTCATATTTCAACCCCACTTGAAATGGCAACAATTTTGAGATGTAAGGAGACCTCTGGGCACTGTCCCAAACATTGCTGCTTACAGTCTGTGCTAAAACTTGGACACATTTATTTGGAATATTTCTAGTAGATGAAAGTTATGGTTATTCTATAATGTCTTTAATCCTATCTCTGGTCTTATTGTCCTGTTACTTGTGTTATATTGTTATTCTTTTCTACCATCAACTAAACTAATCTGAGCTACAATTTTGTGAATTTGAAGTTTCTATTGCTTTGGCCTAAACTGGAAACCCCAAGGGCTCAAGTTTTATGAAAATTTCAGCTCATAATTTAATTCAAACAGACAACAGTTTCATAGTGATAGCAAAATTGCCAAAGTTTGCATGTCAGATGCTGTCAGTTGAACTCAACAATATAATTTCTAACATGAACACTATCAGCCATGCTTAACTATAGTCTATAAGTATCAGCAACTATATACTAAGGAATGAGTAAAACAACCGAATGGCTCTCGTCTCGTGTTGCACACTATCCCGATTATGATCTTCGACCGGCCTGCACGTGAGCATGACAATGGAATTTGCAAAAAAAAAACTACAAATATTATGGATAATACAACCAACGCTTTATGGAGCGAGCCATGAATATCGACAGCGTGTCTCCTTTACATGATATGAATATGTCAGTTGATGTTAGCACCAAATCGCGTGCAAACTGTTGATAAATTATGTACATCTATACTTCATGCGTTATTGGACAAGTCAACTTTAATTCATTATTCATCTATTCACATAATTTTAACTAATCATTACTTCACATCATCTAACTTTAATTATTTATTTTAATATTATCTTAATATAAACTCAAATTTCAACTAACAATTAATCATACCACATTTTTCAAAATTAAATACGGTTAACAAAAAAACCAATCAAACCCAAATCAATTTATATTCAATCACACCCTAGTCCACATCTTTTAATTCAGTAATAAAGTGTAGTGATACATAATTCATATTTTTTGTGATTCTAAATTATATATATATATATATATATATATATATATATATATATAGGGTCGCGCTCACATGAGAATGGTACTTAATGCGAGAAATAAGAATAAATCTTAGCCATGGGATCGGATGATCTAGTGACTAATATAAAAGTCAAATCTATACATTCATTAAGGACATTATGGTATTTTTTTCACACCAATTTAAATAAATGGGACCCAGTCCACATTAATACACCAACACCTACCTGCCAACTACCCAACCTACCTGCCCACTACCCGACCCCGTGCTCTCCCTCTCTCTCAATTACACTCTCCCATTTTCTCTCTCTGTCACAATTAACACACACATACACATAGTATACATAGAAAAAAACACACAAACACACACATTCACAGGTTGGTTCACCGCCATTGCCGGCTATCTTCCACCATTGACGGTCGTCACCCGCCAACGCCAGCGGCCACCCGCAACCTCTCTCACAGCCGCACATCAACCGTGGCCTCTCGTCTCACCGGCGCGCCGGCCTCCGCCCAATACGCCCTCGTCACCACCACCAGCCGAACCGCCGTCGCCTTCATCCACCGCCACCACGCCTTCATCCACCGCTGCCACGCTTTCATCCGCCGCCATCAACCAACTCACAGACGCCGACGTTTTCTTCCGACCATTTCGATTTTTCACATATGCCGGCCAAACACCTCATCCACTTCGGTCGTTGACTTGTAGTCCCTCTCCTCCACAGTCGCCGGAGCCGACCTCCATAACAGTCGCCGGAGCCGAGAGAAGCTGTCCAAAAGAAAACCAAAATTAACGAACTCCATCGCCGGCGAGCTCGTGGCAGTGCCGGGGCGGCCGTCTGTTCAACGGCAGCCAGGACGGCAGTGACGAGAGTGGGGTTGGAAATTAGAGATTTTGGGTTTTCTTTTGGAAATTTGATTAGTTATAAGGATCTATGTGCAATTTTAACAATTTTGATTTTATTCTAATTTAGTTCATATGTCAAATATGTAATTATTTAAAGTTAATGAAAATTATTTTTTTTATATATGGTTATGCATATATATTAAACAATAAATAAAATATGAATAAAAGTAATATAAAATAACAAAATAATATAAAAAAATTTATAATAATAATAAAATATATAATAAACATAATAAATAAAATATATTTTAATTATTTAGGTAAATTCGGTATTATATCTATTAAAACTAGTTTTCTAATACACATAATTTATACTGGAATGTATAAATTAGCTAGTGCACTTTATATATCGGAATGTCGCACTTTATAAGACAATACATTGCACCTTATCGCATCGCATCACCTATTCACAAAAAACACAAGTATGCCAACGTTTTAATACGTTGAACTTTATATAGTAATACGTTGCATTTATAACAGAACACGTTGCACCGTATAAAAGAACACGCTGCACGTACCAAAATATACAGTAATTCTGCTAATCGTTCAAATAAAATATTAATCGGTTAAATGTCGGATATAGTCTTTTTAAATAAATATAATAATTGAACATGCTAAAATATATGAAAAATATTATCAATATATATATATATATATATATATATATTTATGAAAAATAATACTAGTTTTGTCAGGTTGCACTTTAGTATTATGCGGATTGCACCTTAGTGACTGATAGTTTGCACTATAGCGATTTAACTTGACCGAATTCGTTTTTTGTGTTCGAATTTTAGGTGAGATAGATTATGTGTTTTAGCCTTTAAAATTTTAGTTATTTCGGTTCGATGTCATTTTTTATTTTTTTTATTTTTTTAAATAATCGAAATAGCTGAACCAACCAAACTATATGAAAAATACTAATTTTGATTTTTTTTATAAGAAATAATATATTTTTAATCAAAATAAATAAAAAGTTAGATAAAAATATTAATGTGCAATTTACATAACATTAATGTGCATTGTAATTATCGTTAAATGTGTAATTTACATAACATTAATGTGCAATGCAATTATCGTTAAATGTGCAATTTACATACCATTAAATAATGTGCAAGTATTGAAAAATCTATAAATTATAAATTTAACCCATAAACTAAATTGTAATATATTAAAGTTTATAAAATTGCAATTGAATCCTTTATACATGTCAAATTTTCAAAACAAAGACCCAAATTCTAAAACATGTAGAATTCACGTTAAAAATTTTCCGGCGACAGTAAAGGCAGATCTGTGCGGCGGCGGGCTGAGTGAAGGCGGGAGAGGGCCGGCGCGGCAGGCCGGTGGTGGTTCTCGCCGACGAGTCGACGACGACCTGCAACTTCTCTGGTGGGCCGTGGGCCGGTTGCAGTGGCGCCACCTGGGGGATGTTGTCGGCGGTGATGTGGCTGTTGGCGGCAACGAGATGGTGGCTGTTGGAAGGGCGACCTTCCGGTGAGCTTCAAGGAGACGTAGCGACAGAAACAAGAGAGAGAGGAGAGAAACGAGAAAGGATAGAGGAGAGAGGAGAGAAGAGAGAGGAGAGAGAAAAGTATGTTGGTTGGTGGAGAGAGAGGAGAGAAACGAGAGAGGATAGAGGAGAGAGGAGAGAGAAATGTGTGCTAGTTGGTGGTAGTGGCGGGACCCATTTGGGATTTAATATGAATGAGTAATTACTCCTATGCCCTTATTTAGTGGTTGATGTGTATCTTTTGACTATGAAATGAACTTTTATTTACAAAACTGCCATCGTCAGTTTGACTGTAATAATTAACTTGACTAGATCATAACCATTGATATATTGAATCCGATGGTACGGATTTATTCTCACTTCTTTCATTATCTACCATTCTCATATGATCCTAACCCTATATATATATATATATATATATATATATAGGGTCGCGCTCACATGAGAATGATGCTTAATGCGAGAAATAAGAATAATTCTTAGCCATCGGATCGAATGATCTAATGGCTGAAAAAAAGTCAAAATTATATCATCATTAAGGTTATTGTGGACATTTAATCACACATACCAACTATCCACCACATTGTTGGCCCCACCACAATTAAAATGTTGACATTCCCGTAACCAACCTGTCACCACCTCACTTCTCTCTCTCTCTCCTCTCTCTCTCTTTCTCTCTCTCTCTCTCTCTCTCATTCTCATACACACACATTACACACAGTACAGAAGACGCACACACACAATACACGGTGCACGGCAGAACACACACACTCACCGGCGGAACACACGCAGCCACCGGCGGAACCTTCGACCATCTATATTCGCCGCCGACGTCACGACTCAGCCTCCGTCACGCATCCGTCGCCGCCGAACTCGTCTGCAAATTCTCGTCTTTCATCCGTCGCGGCAGGTGCTTTCATCAGCCGTCCCGATTCATCTTCAGCGGCATTCTATTCGAGGCCAACATCGACACAATTGAAAGCCCTCCGCCACCTCCGCTAACTCCGGCGACCTCCAATAGCGACCAAATCGACCATCCATCAACCATGAGCAAGATGTTCTTGGTGCGGTTGTGCAAAAAGTCGGATTGGTTGTCTCCAATTGCGTCAAACTCGGAGATACGTGCCTGTAGGAGAATCCCGATCTGATTCACTTACACAGCTTAATTGAAATTGGTGTTTTTTTTGTTTTTTTTTTTTTATAAATTAGAAAGGGTTTAATGACCTAATTGCAATTTTATAGATTTTAGTTTTATTTCAATTTAGACCTCATGCCTAATATGTAATTAGTGAAAGTTAATAAAAAATTTTGTTTTTATATATTTTTTTATATATATGTATGAATTAATAAAAAATTGATAAGTAAGAATAATATTAAATAATAAAAATATTTGAATCATTTCGAATACACATAATTTATCTAGTCATATAAAGCAGCGCACTTTATATATCGGTAGACTGCACTTTATAAAGTAACATGTTGCACTTTATTAAGCAACACGTTGCACTTTATACAATTCACAATTAATGTC